GATTGTAAGTGATTGTATGTTAGTGTGATTGATTGATAGTGCTTGTTAGTGAATGCAAATGAATAAAATTGACAAGTGAGTGGGTGAGTGTGCTTGTCTGTACGTGTGTCACTTTGTTGGATATTGTCAGCGATTGTGTGCGAGTGTAGGGCAAGTCGGCAATTGTCTCTTACCCTCTGTACATTTCGTCACGAAAATGCCGAACGGCTCTTTCCGACAGACTCGCGTCAGCTCGACCTCTCGTGCCGCGTGCGGAGAGGTCGGCGAGATCGGCGGCGGACTCGACCAGTCGAGCGAGCCGAGCGAAGTGTCGCCGGCTTGTCTGACGCTGACGAGTTGGCAACGCATGCGACGCTGCAGCGAGAGGACGGTCTGTTGGGCGCTGGTCTTGAGACCGCCGAGGAGACGAGCGTGTCGGTGCTCCGGTTCCGTCGGTTCCGCCGGTTCCGCCGGTTCCGAGGGCGGTCGGGCGAGTAGACTCCACGACGAGGCGGCGGAGGCGACTGCGCGACTTCGAGTTCGAGTCCGCGTCCGCGTCCGAGTCCGAGTGCGCAGCATGTGGCAGGCCGACTCCCAACTGAGGCGGCGAAGCGAAGCGTGACTCGCGGACGAGGACGGAGTCGCGCATGGCTGCGTCGAGTCCGGCGAGATGGCGGCTTTGCCGAGCAGGCCGGTCGAGGCCGAGTCGAGTGGACTGCGGCTGCGGCTGCGACTGCGGCTGCGGCTGCGGTTGTGGGCTCGGTTGCGACTGCAACTGCGCTCCCGCAGCAGCGCAGTCAACCGAGGCCAGAGTCGAGGCGAGCCCGGCGTGAGATGGACGGCTCGGCCGGCGCCGTCTGAGCGTGACGGACTCGGTGGTTTCGGCGCGTTTGGTGCGTTTGCCCTGTGGAAAAGGGAGCAAAAGTGACGACGAGGTTAGCCGGAGCCCGGAAGGAAGATGAGATTAGTAATACGAGATGCAATCAGCCAATTTGGTTGAACCTGATAAAGGACTGGTAGTCGAATTTCCCCACAATGAAATCAGTAGAGCTGACGTTTCGATTCAATTTCACACAGCCTTGTATTCCAAAAAGTGAGTATGAGTGAATGTTAGTGTGTGCAACTGTGAATCAAAGTGAGTGTAATTTAGTGTTAATTAATCTTATTAATCGTAAATGTGAATGAGTGCAAGTTAGTATTAGTGATTAATAGTGACTATTATGCAGTGTGAATGAGTAAAAGTGGGTATGAGTTTAAATGAGAATAAATGTACGTGAGTATTAGTGATTAATAGTGAGTGAGTGAGGAAAATAGAATGCGAATGTAAGCTAATGTTAGTGATTGTTAATCAGTGTCAGTGAATGCAAATGACCTTACCTGAGTTCAGATGAGTTTAAGTGAGTAAAAGTGAGTAAATGAATGTGAGTGACTGTATTTGAGTTTAAGTGAGTGTCAATGAGCAAAAGTGTGTATAATTGAGTGTAGATGAAAGCAAGTGTGTGTAAGTTATTGTCACTAATTGTAAGTAGGTGTAGATGAGTGAGAGTAACACTCATTGTATTGAGTGGCTGCACTTAAGGTTTGGTGAGTTTAAATGAGAGAAAGTGAGTGTAGGCTAGTGCTAATGATTGAT